TAATGAATTATGTCGAAATGAATTTAATCAAATTGAATTTAATCGACTTTTCTTGAATTTAATCGAATTGAATTTAATCAACTTTTTTTTGAATTTAATCGACATTTTCCAGCACACCACAAGCTTCACAAGATTTTTAACAGAAACAATGAGTTACAAAATAAGTTACCTGTTAGTTAGCTGCATGCCAAATATCAGTAGTATGAGAAATATTTTAGTTAGTTAAAGTTAAAGTAGTTAAAGTTAGCTGTAGTTAAAGTTAGTTAGTTAAAGTTAAAGTAGTTAAAGTTAGCTGCATGCCAAATATCAGTAGTATGAGAAATATTTTATTTCGTCATATACAATTAAGAACCCTTGTTAAATAAAAAGTTAATTTGGCTTGAAAACTGACGATTGATCATGTTTTATCTCCGCCTAAAAATATGATTAACTCAGATTCGTAAAATTTTATCAAGTTTTCTATTTCTGAAATAGTCAAATACAAATCGATTTTTTCTTTGAAGCTCTGTATTTTACGTCAACACTTTTCCAGTTATCATGGAACTTATTAAACAGCGGAATATCAGGGCTTGTTGTGACTTGGCTGATTTTTGCTTCAAATATATTTTAAAATATATTTGAAGCAAAATTTTAAAATTTTAAAAGCATATATTTTAAAATTAAAACGGCTTTTAATATTAACTCATATATGTGATAACGGCAAGCAAAAATGAGCAAATCTCTGTCTAGTTTCTGTTCAAGCAATACACAGGTGCCATTAATACAACCTGTGTTAGATGCTGTAGTATCACAACAAAGAATTTGAACATTATCCTCAAGATTCCAGTCTACAAATGCTTTCCAAACCGCCTCTGCCTGTTCTCTTCCTGATGAGTTTTCTAATCTTGGCACAGCAATCAATTGTTCTTTATTTCCATATGAAACAACTATCGGTAGACGTTCTTTTTTTGATTTTTGGGCATCTAAAGCAGGCAACAGTTTTCCATCAAAGTGAACGGTCACAACCTGTGGAATCTCATTTTGAAAATCTATTTTTATAGCTTCAGCGCGCTTATTGCATTTTTTGATGCAAATTCTTTGTACTGAGGACTTACTTATTGAAAATTCATCAGTATTGTATCCAAGTGTCTCAATAGTAGCTTCAAGAATATACACAGAACCTCTCATACTTAATTGACATCTGTCTAGCGCTGCTACTAATTTTGGAGTGATGAAGTTTTCCCGCATAGATGTTTTAATTGTTTCAGGTTGCACTCTCGATCTGAGTTAGCAAATCTTCTTCCAAATGTAAGTCTTTTTTAAATTATTTTAACAAATGTCAAATATAACAAAACAAACCGGTAAATCATATTAAATTATAATATGATTTACGGATTTACCCTTTCTTTTGTTATATTTGACATTTGTTAAAATATTAAATAAATTGTAAAATTAAACAATGCATAATAATTTTTTTACTTAGTAACGCATATGATTTCAAATGTAGTGAAGTACAATACTTTAGAAAAAAAAAAACTTAAAAAATAGAAATTCAAAATAACTACTCAAATACAGTAACGTGAGTAAATGTAATTTGTTACTTTCCACCTCTGATATATATATATATATATATATATATATATATATATATATATATATATATATATATATATATATATATATATAGAGAGAGAGAGAGAGAGAGAGAGAGAGAGAGAGAAGAGAAAGAGAGAGAGAGAATTATTATATAGCTAATTTCCTAAAGTACTTACCAACCATATCAACTTTATCAAGAAACATCTGAAGATCTTTTTCATCAACAGTAGCCATTTGATCTCTTAAACTAAATCAACTAAAACATCTTGTAATTTTTATTTGTCATAAACTAAAGCATATTATAGAAAATATGTCAAGCATTATTTGAAGTTTAAATATCATACCTAATTTGCTTAGAGTCATTAAAATCACATTAATAACTATTTAAACACGACATTTTATTAAAACCAGGATAAACTTGTTTTTACACTTTTTATTAATTTTTTTTAATGGATGATGAATATTTCCTCCAGTTATTACGATTAAAATATTGTGAGAAAATAGATTTTTTATCTGAAGAGAGTAAGGCAAAAATCATTAAAACCCTACAATATATTAAAGTATACATATAATAATATAATGTTATAATTTTATAAAGTATAATTTTTAAATATAAAGTATAATTTTTTTAATCTTTATCAAAAAGTTTTTATTTAAAATTTTATTTACAAGATCTTCAGGAGCGCATTGTCAATTAGAGCACAGAAAAAAAAACAATATCAATGATCCTAAAGAATTCAAAGAATTTCATCATCTTTTTTAAAGAGAGAAACTTTTGATAGACTTACTAAATTCATTCATTATGGTCACATACCTATTTAAACCTAAAATTTGTCTAACTTTATAAACTTGAACATTATATGAATACTTATAGAAGATATAAATATTTTTCCAACAATTAAATAGCCTGTTACAGACAGATTCAGCTTTTATTTATACTAATAATCAAGGCATTTGAATTTTAAAAGCATGCTCAAGTTATTAATCAATAAATTTCTTTTTTTTTTTTCATTATTTCTTGCTTGTAATGTAAATTGTTTTTAGACTCAGTACTTTTGAATTTTAATTAAAAATAAAACAACTAGAATATACTAAAAATTAATTGGCCATGATTAGAGTTTAAATAAATTTAGAGACTTTTTTTATTTCAAAATTAGATATCTTTTTAGATATATTTAAACTGATGTGTAAGCATTTTTAGTCTTAGCAAGAATCTCTTTTATCTAAAAATTGAATGAGTTTTTATTCCAATGTTTATTACCAATAAATTTAATAAAAAGTTGTACAAATTACAATGTCAAAACTGTTAAAGTATTTTTTTTATTTGAAAAACGATTAAAGAAATACAAGACATCTTTGCAATAGCCTGGAGTAGAAGTTTCCAATGTCATAGCTGTGTATCTTTCAAACTAATGCATAACAATAAAAGCATATAGCCAAAAACTAAGTAGTTTATTATAATTATTTATTTAAGTATTATATTTATCAATTTGTAATCAGATGTATAGTTTGTTCAATATATTTACATATATATATATATATATATATATATATATATATATATATATATATATATATATATATATATATATATATATATATATATATATATATATATATATAAATATATATATATATATATATATATAAATATATATATATATATATAAATATATATATATATATATATATATATATATGTATTTTAAATTTTATATAAAATGATGAAACCCATTTGTTTTGAGACAATACGATGTATGCAAATGCTAAATTGTTGTATTTCAGAAAACTCTAACCACTAACCTCAACCCCCAGATTTTTGTCATGTGCTCAGCTTCTATAAATTTTCTTTTAGGTAGTAAAACTTTTCTTTTACTTTTTCTAGATCATATTCACCCTACCATCACACATCACACCCTTCACATCACACCTTATCATCACACAGAAACAGGTTTATGGAGAACAAACATTTCTTTATTATTGCAGGAAATCAATTCAAAAAAAGTACTGTCTACAAGACAAAGAAAATTATTCTACCATTCATGCATGCAACAAAGGCAAGGAAAATACTCTACCTCTCATGCATGGATTTGATTTAAGTAAATAACTTTTAGGGTAGCACATGGTTCAATCTTTGGTGTTTCCAAACCTGTGTAATCCCTTATTAACATTTATGATGTTTCTGATAGCCTCCTCTTATAAGTCGTTCTATTTGCAGAATATGTAACTATAGTCTCCAGTCCTGCCAAAAAGTCTTTTGATTGTTTAGAACAGAAAGAAAAAATCAACTTATAATCTAGGTGGAACATGCTTATGCTTATGGTTTCTTCATTAAGAAATTCAAGATAAAAGAGAAAGAAATTCAAAAACAGAAAATGATTCAAAATTTTTTTTTCCAATATTCACATTTTCCCAAACAGGGAAATCTAAAATGATTTCTTTAACTCTTCCAAGAAACATTTTTGAAGACACTGAAATTGTTGCAGCAGCTGATTGAGCTAAAACTTCTAGTAATTGAGAAAAACTTTTTCTTTAGTTTGTCTAGGCAAAAGTAGGAGTCTCAAAGTATGATGTATCTCTTAGTAGATTAACTGTGGAATGCACTCTTAAAAATCAGAATCAGGAACAGCTGACTTACAAATGAATGCATTTGTCTTTTGCAATAGTGAAACGTTGAGAAAACCTTGGGTACTTACTGGAATGCAACAGGATCCAACACTACATTCAAGACACTGCAAATGCTATAGAAAAGTTCCTTAATAGAGAAATGCTCTGCCATGCTTGTAGAGATCATTGCCATGAAGTTATGGTCAAAAAAGTACGAGAATTATTGGTTGAAAAAGATAAGTGACCTAATTTTTTATTGTTAAAAAGCCTGAAAACCAAGTGGGATGAAGTTGACAAGACAAGTGGAAGAGCTCTTGCTTCACTTAAAATTCAAGACCAATGGCTGACAATCAAGAAAAATGATGTATTTAAGTTTATCCTGGATTAACTCTCAAATATAAGCTTTGCAACTCTAATTAAAGATCTCACAATTTTTCTAAACGAGAAAGAGATAGATGTTTCGTCTGCCATTGGAATACATACCTGGTGCTTTAATGGAGAAATAATATCACTGGCACTCTACTCTTCCCAAATCATTAAAGAAAAAATATGTCATTGCTTAAAAGCTTTTGAAAACTTACCAAACTTCAATATTTTATCTTGGATATTTTTTCATGACTGGACTACCAAAAACATCAATGCAAGCAAAGAAGAGCACTTTGGCATCCTCTATTTCACCTGTATTTTAAATCTTTTCAAGCTTCTTAAAATCAGTTATTTAACATGGCTCTCACAATCAATGGGGATCAATGATCAATGGGGGGAAAAAATAAATAATAAAATAATTGTTTTCAGAAAATCAATGTTTTTGTTTAAAACCTAATGTGCACAAATGACACATGAATTGAAATAATCATAAACTATGCAAAGATTTTTACACATAATGACAACAAAAAAACAAATCAATGGATTTCGCATTTTGTAAAACAAGATCATAATTTGTGAAGTGATTTTAGGAAAGAAACAATTTTAAGCAATAAAGTTTGTTTACCTCCAGAAAATTGTGTGAAAAAAAATTGTAGACAAAGTTTTAGCTTTTTATTGCTTATACATGATGAACTGTTTAAATGTTGTTTAGTATAAACCAATGGAAATATACTACTCTAAACTTTAGAATAATACATTTCCATCAATATTTTTATTTTTTAGAATGAAAGAATTTGTTTTGGTCAAAAACAAATTTGTTTTGGTGAAAAATAAAACTTCACAGATATTGGTAATGTATATACACATATAATTATTGTAAATATCATATATTTACATGTATACTCTGTACACGTTTTAAAATTGTATACAACATTAGATTTATTTAATTATTACCTAATGATAAAATAAATAATTCATATTTTAAAGCAATGAAACAAAGACTTTCATAAACAATAAAGCCTATGACAACGATGAATAGCAAAATTTATTGTTGTCAATAAAATAAGCAAATGTAATTTGCTAAAATTATTTGATTAGAACTAAAAAACGCCTAGAATTAAAAAAAAAATCTTCAAAATAAGATAAAGTCAAAAATATAAATTAGTAAGTGAAATAAACACCAAAATTTACAACAACAATTGCATAATTTTAACACTTGTCGGGTTAATTGTTTTGTAAACAAAGTTAAAAATTTTAGTGTTACATTACGGTAGGCAAAGTATGGCGCCAAATATTTTTAAGAAAAAAAATTTTTATGGCATATTACTGAACTTTATTTTTTCAACATCTTCACTTTCAACAAGAGTGCGAGCAACCACTATGAGAGTTGGAAGTTATTGGAAGAAAAAAGATAAAGTTTATAGAGCAAGATAACGATTGATAGACGACTTAAACAGTTGTAAATTGTATGAATCAGGAAAACGAGATAAGGAAGCGAATTCCAAAGAACTGATGTTTGAAAGAAAAAACTAGACGAATAAGAATTTTTAGAGCAATTAGGAACAGCAACCAGAGTCGATTTTACGGGGGTGGGGAGTGTTACACCCCTCCCCCTTCCCCCCCCCAAAGAAGATTTGAAAAAGATTTTGAAAGAATTTGAAAAAGATGACTTAAAAGCAAGGCCTTCTTAAACAGGCCGCGACAGCTAAATTTCCGTAAAATTAGCGAAGGCCGACTTTTTTACGGAGAATTAAAGTTTCAATGAGGATTTTGGTTGTTTGATTTAAACTATAAGTTATGGATTAAAAAACTTCCAAATGCAAACTTTGTGTTTACAGATTATAAGCTAATTTGTGCTCAGCACTGGCCTAAAGATGCAGAATTAAAAAAAGTCAAAGGTGGTAGTTTTGTTCCAGTGCATCCTCCATCAGTCTTTAAAGGTATACCAGTGTCTTGTATTCCAATAGTGTCTAGAAAACGAGATGTCACTGGGTTAATATGCTCTGAAAGAAATAATTTATCTGATGAGTTCGAAAACTTCAAAAAAATGAACGTTATTAAATTTAATTTAATTGTTAAAAATTTGAAGTCAATAATAAATAACTGTGAAGAAAAATTTTATTTTGTTGAAAAAGAAAAAAATATATCTTTAATATCATATGAACATTGTGGACCAGTACCTAAGTTTTCAATATATATAACTTTAGAAGATTCTGGAGATATTTATTTTACTGTATAAAGCCAACTTTTACAAATTAAACTTTTTTTAAAAAAGGAGTTAATAAATATTATTCTCAACTGGAGAATGCTGTTAGTTATGTT